CATCAATCAGGGAGTCAGAACCTTCATTAGCACTACACATATCAATATCATCTACTTTAACACCAGAAGAAATAGGAATCATGCAATCAACATGTTCATTAACATCATGACATTGATTTCCTAAATTCAGGCTCAAAGAAAGTTCACTACTCTCAACATATTCATGCTTGTCATACTATCTAACACACAAGTGACTTGAAATATTTTCATTCAAAGCTTGACAAGAAATAAGAGAAACATCATCTTCATGCTCAAGAGGATTAGGTTCAGTTACATCATGCTCTAAAGTATTTTCATTAACATCAATAACACAAGGAATATCATCAACAATAGTTTCACAAGAAAAAGGAATAGAAATAGGAGTAACCTTAAGAGATAGGGTTTGCTCTTCCTCTTCAATTTCTTGGATTGTTGGCATGACATGCAGCGGCTTTTGCTTCAACCTCTTAAGTCTGTGCCTTCTTCTCCTTGTTTTAAAACCAAATAGCTTGATCCTTCTTGGTTGCTTAGGAATTTCTTCCTTAGCTACTTCAGTCTCAGGCTTATCACAATCAGTAGCAGTAATTAGAGCACTATGATTACCCACATTGTCAATTTGTGATGTAACATGTGTATCACTTCCCGGGTGTATTTCAATTCCAAAATCTTCACAAAAGCTATCACAGCATTGTAGTGATGGAGTGTCAAAGTCTCTACTTTGAGGTCTGGACTACTCATTTCTTGTCCTAAAGTACCTTCGGATTCTTGAGAGGATGTCTCACTTCCTGATTTAGTTACAGTTGTAACAGTAGCTTGAATTCCTTACTCATCATTCAAATATTGAGCTTTAAACCATGGTTCACCCTCTTCACCATTTGATTTCTCCCAAAATATATGCATTATGAGTATGTTTGACAATTCAGCAATTTCATTCAGCTCTTCTAATTTCTCTTTTAATTTCCCACACTTCATAGCATCATTGAGTAATCTTTCATGTCTCACCTCCAATTGATTACTTGCTTCCTTCAAAGCATGTATGCGATCACCATGGTTTTGAATTGAAAGAAGAGTTTCAATTCCACTGGTGTGAAGCTCACAAATTGGTTCATCAGGTTGTTGGGAGGCTATGGGAAGGGAAGATTCTTTAGGAGCTTGAAACCTCACTTTTTCTACTACCTTAACTTGTGTGGATGCATTGGAGCTAGCCTTTAAGCATGGAGTCATGTTGTTTCCACCATATGTAACAGCCTCAAAGTTGGCTTGACTCCTAGAAGGAGCATTCTCAAAATTAATTAGGGAGTAGTCTTCATATCTTGCTGACTTGTCATTTCCATAAGACACATTAGATGATAATCCTTCTGTATTAGCATCTATTCTAGTAGCAATGGCTTCCAACCTTCCAAATAATTGGGCCAATTTATCTTTCTTTGGTGACTCAATATCCTGCAACTGAGCTTGAATAGGGGTTTGATGAAATTCCTTCCTTAATCTAGAATTTTGATGACTTGACTCATACTAGGGTTGATTCATCCAATCAGGATTTCCATGAAGATTCTTACTAGGACATTTCCATCCATTATGCCAGGGTGAATTGCAATAGCAACACAATGGTCTTTGAGATGCTGGGAACAGATTTCTATGCTGCAAATAAGAATAGCTCAGCGCACACCCATATTCCTCTTGAAAGTTCCTATACATTGGGGCATAATATGGGAAATCATCATTAGGTCTAGAATAATAGGAATTAAATCTTTCATCCTTCCAACAGTAATCCATGACTCAATTAAACAAAAGCACTAGAACCAATCAAAACAAACAAAATCAATCAAGAAAACATGAGATAAACTCAGGCGCCGCGGCCTTTATCTTGAGGCACCGCAGCCTCTGAGATAGAGAGCTACAAAACGCAAGAATGGGCATTGTGCTACGGCTGATTGTGAAATGTGCTGCGGCGCTTTGGACAGAAAGCTCAGAAACCAGTCAAAAACATTCTGAACACATGTAGGAATACAAGAACACTAAAATACAAAGATTAAACATGATCCAGCTAAATTTTTGGGACAAGAGTACTCACATATCAAAGCTATGAGACCACAAAATGTAATCACAAGAATAAAAAACAGGACAGTCTAGAGGCTAGAATTCAAGCAACAAAACACTGTAAAACAAATTAAACTGACACTTAACCAACTAAAACCTTGAGCAACCGTGCCTCCCCGGCAACGGCGCCATTTGATAAAGCCTTTGTCGTTAAGGGCTCTCAAAAATACTAGAATTAAGCTTAGAAGTGCAGTGGCTCAACCCTAGGTCGATTCACAAGGAGGCTTGTTGCTCAAGAGTTTTGTTAATTAAATGCCTTCACAAATTATTAACAGTGGAAGTGATCTGGTTATTTATATTGATTTTCTGGTTTTTGCAAATGTAGAATGTAAATGTTTATATCTTTTGGTTTATCTAAGTGAGAAATTGTGAAGCGAATGAGTGATAGAATATCAGATATGAGTGAAATGTCCTCCTAGAAATGTGCTCCACCTTCCTAGTCCACTTATGGATGCAGAAGTTCAACAACCGAATCAAGACTTGGCCAACAACTCGCTGGCTTCCTCACTGTCAAGACTACAACTTGTATGAATCAACAACAAGACTAGAATCATTCAGCTTAGGAAAAATAAAATGATAAATCAATCCTCCTGTGACAATCACAACCGTGCATTGTCTTAAAAATATGTTGAATTGATTATGAGAACTGAAACAACTTGTCCAGAAACCACAATGTAATACAACTAAGGAATCAGAAGGAACAATCTCAACTTGATCTTGCAAATGAAATATCATTCTACCAATCCTAATCAGATTCAACAACTCCAGTGAAAATGTAAATCAAAATCAAATCCTGAACTACAACTTGAAATGAACAACTCGCTCAATCAATCTATAGATTCAGACTAAAGCTAAGAATCTAGAAGAAACTCCCTTCAATCGAATCAGGGACTCAGGCTTGGCTTCATTTCTAGGAAGAACACGGACGATTAGCTGCTCATGGCTGTAAGGAGAACTACACCGAGACGCTCCCAAATCACCATGGCAGAAACTTGACGGAAGAAGATGATATGATGGTGAGATAAAAGAAATGGATGAGATGGAGATAGATTGGGAGAAGAATGGCGATCCCCCTTAAAATCTGATTCTTTCCATTTTGTAACTAACGCCCTCCATTTGGTTAGGATCCGCGCCTTTCAGGATGGAGCTCCAAGATCCGGGTCATCCACTTCCTCCTCCAGCTTCTATTCGCACGTTTCTGGTTTAATTTGTTGATATGTGTCATCCGCCACGGCGCCTGGCCTATACGGTGCCGTTTTGATTAGTGATCCTGAGCTTCATGTAAATACCAATCCGTCGTGGCGCCTCTGTCCATCTGCCGCGGCGCTTTTTACCGAGAGTCCCCTTGGAAATCCGCTGTGCCGCCTTCCCAAATCTGCCGTGGCGCCTCAGACAGAACTGAAACTCCCTGAAATTCACACCAAAGCAGGGATCAAAAGTACACACATATAAAATCACATAAAATCATGCAAAAACACAAAGAAAACCTCACAACTTCCTTCACCAACTCTTATGCACAATAAAAGCTAATTATACCCAAAATATGCAAATATAAATGGCAAAAGCATAAGTTTAGGACTAGAAGTATATCGAAATAATGAGGCTTATCACACCTGCAGTACCATTTGTGCCTGCCCCAGTCCAGTCTAGTCATGAGATCCGTAGTGTGGGTCAGCTGAGTGACCGGCTGAGTTCATAGGGCGTCACATCAGGAGGGATGTGGATGCAGACCTGAGAGTACACCTAGACTACCTCCAGGGTGTGAGGGAGCTGTATCAGGCACACGGACCAGGCAACCCTTACTTAGAACCATTTGACTGGTTATGTGAGATGGTAGATGTCCTACCTAACACTCCCTTCTGGACCCATGAGATCATCCGCCTGAACTACCTACTGGGAGATGATGTAGAAGACTGGATCTGCAGCCTCGAGGACTTTGTTATTGTTCACTTTTTGTAGACGCTAGGACTGTCCTATCACTAACGTAGGATATATTTTGGCACAGCTAACCCGAGTAGGTTAGGCTGATAATGCTTGGTCGATGGTTGTGTTGATTGCACTTTGACTGGTTAATGCTTAGCTGCTATTTGCTGTATGCTCTTTTTGTGAATGAAATCCAAGCATGATATTTATTTCTTGTTCCTTGTTGTACTATCCGGTTAGTTAAGCATGGTTAGAACTCGACGAAACCTTTCACCGGAGAGACCCCTAGTGTAAGATGCAAGGGTCCCTCCTGATCCATTACAATTGATTCTGGAACACCTCGAGCAACAGCAGAAGGCCATCGAGGACATGAGAGCAGCTCAAGCTCATCAGGAACAAGAAAGGGATGCAGTGATAGCTGTAGCAATGGCAGCGGCATTAGCGAACCTCGACAGAAGGCAACCAGAAGAAGAGGTCTCTGCAGCACCAGCATCAGAACAGTTGCCAAGGCTGGCAATACTAGCAGCAGAACCTGACAGCATTCAATAGTGGATGACCCGATTCTGTAAGCACAACCTGCCGTCATTTGATAGGACATTTGACATTCAAGTGACAGAAGAGTGGATTAATCACCTAGAGAAGGTCTTCAAGGTGCTGGACTACTCATCAGAGCGAAAAGCCCATATGGCAATATATAAACTAGAGAAAGATGCTGATCGCTGGTGAAAGAACACTAAAATTCTTCTCGATGCTCAAAACACGATGGTGACTTGGGAAGTGTTTCTGGAGCAGTTTTATGAGAAGTACTTTTCGAGATCTGTCCGAGATGAGAGAGAAGCGGAATTTCTGACTCTGAAGCAAAGGGATGATGAGCCTTTTGATGAATACTTTCTAAGTTCATCCGTCTCTCTCATTATTCAAGCTATCTCCGATATAGAGATGATGAGAGGTGGACAACAGAGAAGATGGTTTAAGGACTGAAGCCATCATTGAGGGAGATGATTGCTCCCAGACAATTTGAGCAGTTCAATAAAGCAGTGGAAGCTTGCCGAATCACGGAAAGCAGCTTCAACCATCATCTGATGGTCAAGACAACTCCCAGAGCAGAGAAGGGAGGTCAAGGAGGTCAAGGTGTTACCTCGTCCAACGTGAATAAGAAGAGGAAGCAACCTTGGAACAACCACAAGAGCAAGAAGGGCGGTAAAGCCCCGAAGGGCAAGGAGTGTCCTAAGTGTGGCAAGAATCACGGTGACAGACTGTTTATGGCTGGGCAGAATGTTTGCTACACCTGTGGCAAACCTGGACATTTCTCAAGGGAGTGCCCACAGAACACCGAGCAGTCAAGACCACGTACCCAGGGCCGAGTGTTTGCCATCACAAGAGAAGAAGCCCGAAAGTCTCCGGAGATGATCCAAGGTACGATCATGATTAACAATTCTCTGGTGATTGCAATGTTTGATTCGGGTGCTAGTCATTCTTTTATTTCATATGCCTGTACGGAAAGACTTGGCTTGAGTATAAATACATTGCTATATGATATACATGTGTCTACCCCAACACAGAGTAGGGTAATTGCATCTGATGTATGCCTAAACTGTATAGTTTGTTATGAGCACTGTTACACTGCTATAGATTTGATATGCATGCCTTTCCATGAGATAGATGTGGTGATTAGACTTAATTGGTTGTCATCCCACAATATCCTAATGGATTGTAAGAACAAAACCCTAATCTTACCCACGAGGGATTTAGAGTCGAATCCGGAAGTTAGATTAAACTTCATTACGGAGGCCCAAGCAGGCAAATGCTTACGAAAAGGCTGTCAAGGATTCCTCGTTTTCTTCTCGGTACAAGTCGAAGTCAAGGAAGGGATAGAAGAAATCCCAGTGGTCAGGGAATTTCCGAAAGTGTTTCCAATAGAGATCGCAGGATTACCCCCAGACAGAGAAGTAGAATTCACAATTGACATAGTACCTGGAGCAGGACTAATTTCTAAGGCCCCTTATAGAATGGCTCCTAATGAAATGACAGAACTTAAAAAGTAGATAGAGGAGTTACTTGAAATAGGTTTTATTAGACCAAGTGTGTCGCCATGGGGTACTCCAGTGTTGTTTGTCAAGAAAAAGGATGGTAGTCTAAGGCTGTGCATAGACTACAGGGAGTTGAACAAAGTCACAGTTAAGAACAAGTATCTGCTCCCTAGGATAGATGATATGTTAGACCAACTAGTTGGAGCCAGTGTATTCTCTAAGATTGATCTAAGATCAGGCTATCACCAGCTCAAGATTAAGTCTGAAGAAGTCCCTAAAACTGCGTTTAGAACCCGATATGGGCACTATGAATTTTTAGTGATGCCATTTGGATTGACGAACGCACCTGCCATATTCATGGACTACATGAATAGGATTTTTCGTCCTTTACTTGGATCAATTTGTGCTCGTATTCATTGATGACATCTTAGTGTACTCCAAGTCTCCAGAAGAGCATGAGGAGCATTTGATGATTGTCCTAAATACCCTGAAAGAGAAATAGCTGGTGGCTAAACTTAGTAAGTGTGAGTTTTGGCTCCAGGAAGTCCGATTTCTCGACCATGTGATTTCCCGAGAGGGAGTGGCTGTCGACCCCAATAAGATTGAGGCAGTACTCAACTGGGAGAGACCCAAGACGGTGACCGAGATCAGAAGTTTCCTCGGACTAGCAGGGTATTACAGAAGATTCATCCAGGACTTTTCTCGAATTTCTCTCCCGCTGACTGTCACACCTTACTATTATATTGACTTAGGTTCCTTTCAAAATCATTTTAGACCACATTGGATGGTCTTGGGCTCACTTTTTACCATAAAAACGCTAAATTTCATATTTTTACTGTTTATCGGGTAAAAATCCAGTTTTTCTGGCCCAACTTCAAAAATTCATAACTTATTCTTCAAAAATCCAATTGGAGTGGTTCAAAATTCTACTTAAATATATTTAAGTCCTCTTTCAAGAAAAAATAATCTCATTGTCCAATTCCTTATGAGAAAGCGTCAGGCTTTTGAGAAAAGCAACACTGTCCACTTGCCAAAAACCCAGATTCCCAGATTCTGACCATTAACTTTGAAAAATCATTATAAATCGTATACTGGGTCATTTTTAACATATTAGCTATCAAAATGAAGCTCAAGACGTCATCTTTAACTGTACCAAATTTTACGGTCAGAAAAGTTTGGGAACTTAATCGAAAAGTTGCGTGAAGGGGGCTGTGTCTGGAAATTTCAGTACTGTCCAGCACCTTAATTATACAACCAAAATGTCACGAAATTTTATGGTAAAAATTGCCGTAATTTAGCCTTCCACATGCTGCTTTCCCTTGGATTATTCAGGCCCTAAAATATTGTATTACATTTGGGGGATGAGATTTCATGGAAATGCCAATAGCAAATTAACCAACTATAGCATCAACAAGCATCATTATTATGCATGATCACATTAACTACTATTGATGAACTAACATGCTTATCATTTGGCAAACTCAAACATGCAAAGGCCAAAGCAAGATACTATAAAGAGCAGCCACATAACAATCAAGAGAGCTCAACCACAATAATAGCAATTAACCATACAATAATCAACAATGCTAGTTAGTGGTAGTAGCTAGGTTTAACTTGCTACCTTGATCCAAAGATTTGTGCTTTCTTTGATTCTCTTCTTTTTCTTCACAAAGGTCAAACCCTAGCATGATAATCCCATAAAAAGGACAATAAGAATCATTATCCATTTCAACCAAAAGCAAGAACATAACTCAAAAATACTCTTGCTTCATAAAGGTTCCATCTTTGCTCTTTGCTTTTGAACTTGTTTTCCATAGGGTTTAAAAATCCTTTCTTACCTTATCCCCACATGTTTTTCCATTTTAAACACCATGGAAGCATCAAAACATTGAAAATCTCATCCTAGGGGCTATTTAGTGTCAAAACCGAAATGCTCCTTACAATACATAATAAAGAACACACTTCCAAAACACCCTAAAATCACTTGTAACCACTTGGATCTTTTATGTTTTGAAGTGTTTTACCATATTTGAGCAACATAACTCCTTCCCCTACACCATCATCATTTCGTCCAGCACCCAAAGAAGAGGAGAAACAAGATTTCCAACTATACAAAGCAAGAAAACAAGGCAAGGAACAACTTAGAACTAAAAACTAACCTTGAATCTCACTTGTGTGCTCCAAGATGCTATCTTTCTCCTTAGTTCTTCCTTGGTTCCACTTGAAACACTCTTTTCTCTCTTGGCTATGGCTTGCACGAAATGGAGGTCTGATTTTAGGGGAGGAAGTGCTCATTTAATGCTTCAAAATATCTCAACCACCATCATTAATGCTAATCCAAGTGTCACTACCCCTTTGATTCCTTCTTTCTCTTTCTTAATTAACTAAATCCAAATGAAATTAATTACCAAAAGTCAAAATCCTCCCCATTTAGAAAATGACACTTGGCAATTTCAAATCCTCTCCATTAAGGGCTTTACACTTGGCTCAATGAGGATCATTCAAAATGCAAAGCTCTTTATCGATGCACTTTGACTCCGGGTTTGAATCCTTTTCTATAACTACAGTATTCTAACCTCTGTAATTATTTTCTATCAGAGCCCTATTTTATTCTCCTCATTTTTATCGTTCTAAATTGCCCTCTTTTGTCTCGAAATTAATTTCCCCATAATTAACATAAAAGGAAATTGGCAGGTTTGGCAGGTTTGCTTGAGCCATCATAGACCTAACCATGTCTAAAAGAGTTCTAAAGCACTCAAGAGCTTCAGACTTATGCAAGATCAAATAGACATGACCATATCGTGAAAAATCATCAATAAAGGTAATAAAATACCAAGCTCTGTGTCTCGCCCTCACACTCATTGGACCGCAGATATCAAAATGGATTAATTACAATGGATTTTCAGCTCTTGTTCCCTTACCGAAAGGCTTTCTTGTTGCCTTACTAGCTAGACAATTCTCACATAGTGACATTTCCATATTGGGAATGGCACCTAACAATCCTTCTTTGGCTAAATTAATCATTCTATTTTGATTAATATGTCCTAGTCTAGCATGCCAGGTGTTTATGTCAACATTATTCGAAGAAACAACAAAGCATTCATTACTATTGAAATCACCAACAATATCCAAAACAAAGAACTTTTTAAACAAGAAAACTGAACCATAAAGAATTGAGTTGCTTGAAATGTCTACAACTTTACCATGAAAGTTTACATCAAACCTAAATTCTAAAAGACATAACACAGAAACCAAGTTCCGCCGGATGTCGGAAGCGTAAAGCACATCATGGAGTATTAAGGTCTTCCCACCATGCATAGTAAATTTGCAGGTGCCCAAACCTTTAACCTCGATCCTCTGTTGTTCCTAACGTAAAGCCACTTGCTTTGATACGGCAACCGACAGTACTCGATAAAGGATCCTCAATCCCTGGTTACATGGTCTGTGGAGCCTGAGTCTATAATCCAAGAAGAAGAAACAGGTTCTGTTAGAAAAACAGTACTAGAAACATATGAAACATGTGAATTCACATAATCCACTAATACCTTTTCGCTCTCAGCCTGTTTTGAATAGTCACGTGCAAAATGGCCCATTCTCTGGCAGGCGAAGCATTTGACCTTCTTCAGGTCTAGCTTCTTCTTCCCACCTTTCTTTCCCTTCTTCTTGAATTGCTTCTTTCCCTTTTTGGGTTGAGGACCACCCTTCTTCCCTTTCTTTTGGAACTTCTTGCCCTTCTTGGAATCAGGCCTTGATTAGGAAATGCCAGCATCCTCAGTGTAATAAGCTTGTCCAGAGGTCTTGTAAGCCTCTAAGCGTTCATCCTCTAGCTCTAAGTGCTTGGCTACATTGTTAAAAGTAACGATGTTTTCATTATGGGTCAGATTGACTTTTACGTGCTCCCAGCTAGTAGGGAGCGATCTAATAACAGCCTGCACTTGCTATTCATCAGACAGGACATGTCCAGCTTCTTTAAGTTCTTTGATCATGTTGGCCATCTCTCTCAGATGTTGCTTCATAGGATTGTTTGGCTTGAGTTTGTAGGTATCGAACTTAATCGTTAACCTCCTAAGTTTAGTGGTAGAAGTACCACCAAACTTGTCCTTCAACGCTATCCACATAGCTTGTGCAGTTTTGTGCCTTTCAAACTCACACATTATGTCATCAGCCATGGCACTCAAAAGCGTGATTCTTACTATGCTGTTTTTCTTCTTCCAAACTAAGTAAGCATCTTGGTCTCTCCTATGTTGGGCCATATTCCTAGCTTCAGGTTCGACCATTGCAGTGGTTAAAGGTTCAACGGCATCTTGTTCCTCCAAGATGTATTGGACCTTTCAGTGCCATATGTCCCAGTTATCCCCGTTGAGCTTTTCCCTTTATTAATCTCAGCAATTATGTTCTTGGTTGCCATTTTCAGTTCTGTGACAAATTTATCCCATATTATTCTACGTTCTCTCTAAAAGAGAGATGTACCATAGAACATTTCAGTTATATAGCACAGCGAAGTATACAATGTCTTGTACTTATATCATCCTTGATC